TTTTTTTCGAAAATCGAAATATTTCTTGGATTATCTAGGTATTCATTACCAGATCCGAGGGCTTATCATTAACGATTTGATTCTTGGGAGGTGGTAGTGCGAGAACCATTTCGCCCTTGTGAAGGGTATTTATCACAAACGCTAACTCGACACGTCTTCCTGGTTGAGTTTCACATTCAGAAATGGTTTTTTCAGTCAGCAGTGGGTTCAGAAGCTCGCGTTGACGCGTTGGTCTCGAGGTCAAGGCTCTTTTCGGGGCATTTCTACTCCCAGATAGGTGGGTCGCGCAAAGCTAGCTTGAAAATCTTCTCTTTTCTGTCTATCCCATTCAAGCATGCTATGGGTGAAGTCGATGATACCGTTGGCAAATTGCACTCTGAAGTGTTCTGACATCCAGGAAGAAAGTTAGTCATTTACCAACTTAAAAATGCCTGCTGTCATCACGCTTGATTTTCGGTGGTGTACCCTCTAACTCCATCATCCAGCTGCTCTTATAGTTTTCTTATCTCCATACCCGCTCCCCAGTACTTGTTGGAGATGAAGCCGTTGATTTTGCCCACGGAACACATCCTGAAGCGCGGCGACTCGGAGGCCATTGCCTACAGCTTCTTCCACCTGACCCATTGGAAGGCCGTGGAGGGTGCATTAAACCTCCTACACTGCACCTGGGAGGGGACCTTCCGTCTCATACCCTATCCCCTGGAAAAGGGCAACCTCTTTTATCCCTATCCTCACTCGACGGAGTCTACTGACCGCGAACTTCTACCCAGTGAGTCTTTCTTTCGATCTTGCTACTTTTCACTGTCATCTCTATTATTGAAGCTTGCGATAGAATTAAAAGTGGCGTAGCTCGTGTTGGTACTTGTGTTCTTTAGTATACATGGATGAAAAGTGATGTCATTTTTAATCCCACTGTTGGAGTAGTTGAACATGCTTTATGGCGGAGTTTTAAGTTTTTGACGGAAAGGGGAGAACAATAAATCAAATTGGTGATTGGGTTCATGACACTTATTTGTAGGGAGATGACAAATAGCCCTGTGTTAAATCAATTTTCTCTTTTGGCCTGCTTGTAGTGTCGCCATTGGTAAAGGTTATACCCGTTGGATATTCTTAAATAGCGGTGATATATCCTTTACAAATAAAAGACAAATGTAAACTATCTTGAACACATCAGATCACAAATACAGCTGGTAGCAAAGGCAAGGACTCTGCCTCAACGAGGATTTCTCCAATTGTTGAGTTGCTTTTTCTTCGTTTGTGGTTTCTGTAGACAGTAGAGCTGGTCATTGCAGCTTTTCTGTCGCCGTTGTTTTTCGCTGGCATAGTCAACAATAACATTTGTGTATCACTATTTAATCAAATGTAAAATAATCTCCTGCAATCAGCTACATTAAAGTAGCATTTCTCTGCTTACAACGGGATCCGTGAGCAATGTCACCACTATCTTGACCATTAATCGCGAAATCCATGTCATTGCAACCCCGTTTTCGCTATTAATAAAAAATACAAAGCACTCCCGGGCAAAAGTGAAGTCGGTACTTCAGCCATCAGCAATTCTTTCTGCCTGTGAATGCGAACTACTAGATTCAAAGGAATTAGTCTGAGCTGATTGATTCCCTTCATTACCAGTGCCTTCTACTATGACTAATGGGCCCTTATGACCTGGCTAAAAGGTCCGAAAGTGACGCTGATTCTTTGGTTTTACACAGGTTAGAATGTGCCCTTACGGGTGGAGCTTTCTGTAGCCTTGACTAACACTTAACGGGATCTCATAACCAGCATGAATGTCCGTTTTCCCTATTCAGGCGAAAAAGTTCCGAGCTTAGTTCTTTTTCCTCGCCAATTAATCTAGACATAAACTTTTTCTGACCATCAGTTTAGTAAACTTAGGTAAATGTCACGCTGTACCACCGCCTTGTGTCATTACTACGGATAGTCCGTCCGCATGTCGTACTATCTTGTGGTAGGCTAAGCAGGATCCTGGGCTACTGACTCACTCCTCACCCGCCACATTAAAAATGCAGCAAGTCACTCATAGGAAGTTGGAAAAATCTTCACGACTATACCTTCCAACAGCATTGCAGAGAAGAAAGAAGGTACCTATGCGCTTTGAAAGAGATAGTCCACATGTTCGTCTTCATAAAGTGACCAGTGCCGTCCCTCGGTCTCCGCTTTTTATTCAAATCGGAAACAAATAAGTGTTTAAATTATTTGCATGTCAAAGTCAACCATAAGATTAGCCGAAATCCACGATAATTTTCCAACTTAAATCGCCTACCAAAAGGGGACCTCAATGTTCAGAAACACAATACTCCATCATTGCTTGGACTTATTTTTTTAGCCGACTCTACAAGGTAATCAAATGGGGTGATGTGCTTTTTTGTAAAAGAAGTCCCTCAAAATATTTTATTTGTTCATAAAATTGGCATCACAGCCTGTAATTTTTTCTTAATAAGGCTTAGTTTTGGAGATTTTTGCTCATGCAAAACTGTTTACCCCTGACTGCAAAGAAGAAACTACCTCCGCCCACCTTCTTTTCCATCTCACTTTTATTTATCATCTGCCTCTGTTATTTCGCATATACTTGCCTAATGCCAGGAGATGGCGATAATTGTCAATGAGGGACATAGAATCCGGGCAATACGGAGGGTGAGGATGTGATACTTCTCATAGGTGCAGTTAACGGCATCTGTGAAAAGCAATGTTACATCCCCTTGTAAAAAGAGGGCTTTCTTCCTACTGGCTGTCCGGTCCCGATTTTTTGAAGACGAATTGAAGTATGACTGGGGATTGAGTCATATCTCAGTCGTAGATGTCTGGTCTTCACTGCTATGCATCATGCATAGGGCGCAGTCTTCTGAGGGTGAAGCGTTGCCTTGGAAATGTGGGGAGTGGGGGTACAGCAAATGGATTATTTGGAGGCAGCCAGTGTTGCACTCGTTCGCTTAGCTTTGGAATGCAGAATCTACTTTCCATCGCAAGCCGGTAAGTGAAAATTCTGCAAACGACGCGCTTTTCTAAGGATACACCAGTGCAGAGCCAATTGATAGGCCTTGAAGCTTACCACCATCTGTAAATACATGTGCATGTGCTACATTTGCTTGGTAACTTCCTCCACTTCCCCAGCTGGTGTAGATGTAAACGAATAGTTTCATCATTACTCGCATTAAACACAACTGCATGTTCTTGGCACTCTAAGGCGTCAAAACGGCACAAAACTCTTTAGGATAAGAACAGAGACTCTTCCTGAAGGTGATGTTTCGATCGTCACCAGAGTCAAACGGCTTATTTAGGGTGTTTCGGAGAGCTTCATTCTGTCACTGCGCCCTCTAACTGCCATGCAAGTTTTAATGGAAACTCTTGCAACTTTCGGATCGAGTTAAGCTGGGATTGTAAAGTAGACGATCTCGAATTACTTCCATTTGACAAACAACCTTCACGATGAATGCAACATATTATTTATGTGAATTTGATGTATCTTTGGTGTGGATCTCGACTGAACTAATGAATTCAGGGAAAGAGGTAGTTGTGCGCTTTACTCAAACATATTTTGTCCATTTGTGCAATCACCCATTAATCCACATTACTTCATCGTCCAATTTAATTTAATCTGCATTTTCTCAATCGTCCTTTCGTTCGAAGCGGGAATGCTCATTTTCAGGGTTGCGACAGTTGTGCGCTACATGGCTCGTTTACATGGCAAAATTTGCAATCCGCAACTGTTCGTTTATTATTTGGCCACACGCCTTGCCAATCAACTATTTCAATCGCTAGTGGTAACTGGTTTAAAAGGCATTCCAGAGTGCGGCGGACATTAATTTAGCACTGATTTCACATCCTTTCATCGGTAGGTTTTCACACCGTCTCGGTGTATCCGAAAAAGGACGTCCCCTTCTTCATCATCTTTACGGCCGTGCTGTGCTCACTCACCGCGCTACTGGCCTTTCTCACCCATGTCTATCCAGATCAAATGGGCTCTTTCTCTAGTCAGGTGAGTGCTGCCTCTCTTGCCCTTGAATAGCGTTAGCTTCTCAGCTTGCCCCCGTCCTGCATCCACTATTTGCCTCTTTGAAGTTAGAAATTGAGGGGCTTACGAAACGGACTTCTAACCCACTTTCATGTGGGACAGGCATGGCAGTTACTTTACTCGGTTTATGGCCTAGGTGATTTGGCTAACCCTCGCGATGTAAGGTTAAATGGATGTTGGTGATTGATTTCTCTCTGCTGCCTTGGAGAGTGTTGAAAACATATTTCCACGACTGTATCTACTTTCAGTTTCTTAACAATATGTTAGTCATTACTTCCCTCCTATTCCGAGGGCCCCCGCTACCAATATGACGCTGAAGAAAAGTTAACCGCACAACTGGAATCACTTCGCCATCTGGTGGTAGATTTACGGGTGAAATTAAATCCTCCTACCTTTGATTAGGAAACTTGGGGGAGCGTTACTGACCTTAAAAGTTTTTAAATTCGATTGTTGTTTTGTTTGAAGACGATTTAAATCATACGCGTCCGCAAATGGCCTTCGTTATAAGCATATGGAAAAGTATCCTAAGTGGTATAAATGGGATGTCACCCGTGGAGACTGAGGAGTCCACTCGTGTGAATCCCATGATCGTTCTTTTGCTTTACCTATCGCCAATTTTTCGGTGATTTCCGGTTAACCGAGAGACAGAAATGAAGATCAAACTACGATCGATGGTGGCGGTGAGAGTCCTGAATATTGCACTCTCCGTCGAATGAACTGCATCCAGGAAGTGTTCATTTACAGTGGTAAAGGCTGGACGACTTCGTACTGATAGCGTTTGCTTCAAAAAATGCGGGGAGAAGTGCCTATCCATATCCTCAAACCCCATCCACAAACCATTGAGCATTATTGTACGCAGTTCTTCAATTGCTGGTCTCGAGTTTGAGGCGGTTTTTAATGGCCTTTTTGTCGTGAGCTAAACCCTTCCCTCTGTGATGACCCGCCACGGCATTCACGAAGAGCGATCGGAATTGTTGACGTTTTGAAGTGGATTTGTTTCCAAATATCACTACTGTAGTTACCAGTTCACATTTTGGGATGGAATATGGCTACCTGTCTAGAAGTAGGTTTATTACCAGTCAATTATCCTGCAGGGATGGATTGCAACCCCTGGACTACCTCTGAGGACGTTATGAGGCATGTACGTTGTCATATGTGCTTAATAAATGTGTTTCTTCTATATTGTAGGCATTGCAGTGGTTTATCTGTCCATTCTCCTATCTCTCAGAGAGGTTGATCGGTTTGTTGAACGCATTCACACCGCTTGTTGTGCAACGGACCTAGCAACTGCTTTGAACCCAAGGCGGGAGGGGAGGCGACAGGGGTGAAGTTAGAGGGAGGAACAGACCGGCACCAACTTTTCTTCGTTTCTATCTTGAATGTTATCTCTTCCTCTCTTCCCTGCTCCCTTTGATACAATCGGTTATGCTTATGCGAGCGCCATTCTATCTTAAAAATGCTTTATTAATGATTGCAAAAGCATTGTTAAGTGCTGAGTAAATTGCTACTTGGCCGTCTTGTTGAGGGTAGCTGTTCCTAACAAGGTGGCATGGGCAGAGGCCGTGTACCGGGGGAGTGGCGGGTGTATCATTTGTCCTCACCGCGTTAACCACTGGTGAAAGTTCCCGTTCCGAGTCATGCAAATTTGATGAGCCGGAACAAGAAGCTTCTGCAAATAGTGAATTTCCTTCAATGCGAGTAGGGGTTCAAGTACCAAATGTTCTGCCAGGTTGGCGTTTGTGACGACTCGTCCGCAAAAGGGTGGATGGTCAGGCATCTCATTCGCAACATAAATGTGAGATCTCTCCATAAAGTAAGATCACTGCTGCTTAAACGCGTAGGATGGACCAAACGATAAAGTGGGAATACTTATCAATTGAGGTTGGCAACTCTTTCGTGTGCACATGTAAAGTGATGTTAAGAAATTGGCCGAGTTTGTCGGGAAGTAAAAAATTATTTACTCTTCTCCAAAATTATGGCGCTGTTGAAAGCATGTTTATTTATTTAATAGAAACTAAAAAACTCCCTCCAATATAAGGTACTCCGTTTAATTCCTTCTTCGAATAGCAGCAAAAGCTAACTCATAAAAAAATGAAAAAAATTACGTTTAAATCATGAATGTTATCTAAATCTAAGGCACAAAATATAATAGGAGCTTATTGTTTTGATGCGAATCAAGACTTATTTAAAGCACAAAACTCTTCCTTTTTCGTGCCGTAATCACGCAAACTATTTGGTCCTGTTGCATTTGGAGCTTATTACTAAGGCCATAGGCTTTATTATTAAGGAAATCACGATTGTTTGCGAATCCGGAACATATTTTATCGTGATATGTCTTAAGGCTACTTTTAAGGCATTGTGCCCAACTCAAGGTAGCACACGTGGACAATAACCCATTTCTTCATCTCCCAGTTATGAGTTCGGGTTTTTCGAGGTTATGCCCTTCATTTGCAAACGTCATCAATGATCCACTATTGTTGTCCTATTTTATACAGTATTTGAGAAGCACCAATTCTGAAAACATATTCCGGTTCTGGTTGGAGCTCTCTGGATGCATGAATAGACGGAATAACAATGGAGATTCCTTTAAGTTTAAGTCACAGGAGTCTGTTTCATCAGACAAAACAGTGGACGAGTTGCGTGAGAAGATATCTCACTTGCCGGTTAACAGTGTTACAACAATTTACTTTCGTTACATATCTCGTGAAGCCAAACTCCCCGTCGAATTGCCTCCAGAGCTCCTTTCGGCAACTTTGTGTATGTGATTTCATTGTATGCATATTGTTCAGTAAGAATTTTAGAGAATCCATACAATATCGCTGCCTTTGAGCCTTGTCTTCGATTTACTGAGTCCAAATTTTATTCCAGGTACATCTGCACCTTTAACTCGCGATGTCATAATTTAGTTTATTCCCCGACTTTTTAAGAAGTGACCTTTTTTCTGAATTTTGCGTCGAAATAATTGTGAATGATCAGCTTACACTAAGTGATGTTTTATTTGAGGAAGCTCTACTAGTTAATTTCATTGAGGTATGCAGGGAGCTTCGTCCTATTTGTGCAGTTTTTAGCTGGTGATCCCACTTCCATCCTACTAACCTTCCTTATGGCTGTGAACGCTTACAAAAAGGAGTTTTCCGAGTTAATGCTTAAGAAAGATCATGCAGAGTCGGTGGAGGAGCGCCATCAACAGCTTCTTCATGACGCTACGACAATCTGTGCAAAGTATGTCGAAAGTTCATCAATCCCTTATTTTTAGGTACCTTTCGCCTGCTTCTGATGATTTCATGGGTCTCACTTTGGAGCAGTACCGAAGTGTTCTTGACGCTGCTTGTGCTGAGAAGGAACCACGAGAGAACTGTTTTGATGATCTTTACAAATTAATTTACAAAACGG